TTTCCTTAATATCTGATTTTTATTTGAATTTTTTTCCCTCTTCTTATTCTATCTTAGGGTCTCTTCTCAAGCCTATCACAACTAAACATATTTCAGCTTCTTCATGTGGTAATAGTATATTGAATCTGCTCTTTTAACCTTTTGTATTTTTTTAGTCTTTATTTCATTTATTTCTGCTCCGATTTTTTTTTTTTGTCAGTTGTGAGGCTTGAACTTGAAGGCCTTGGGTGCAGTTCCTGAGCCTTTTTTGCTCAAGGCTAGTGCTCACCTAATTTGGGCCACAGCTCTACTTTTAGTTTCTGGTAGTTAATTGGAGGTAAGAGTCTCACGGGTTTTCCTATCAGTGTGGGCTTTGAACTGAGATCCTCAGATCTCAGCCTCCTCAGTTCTGGTCTTTATTATTCTGATCTTTATTATTTCATTCCTGCTATTTTTGGATTTTGTGTGAGGGGACAATATTGGGGTTTGAACTTAGGTCCTGGTGCTTACTGGGCACATGCTTTGTTTGTATTAATTTTTTATTTCCTTGAGGTCCAGTAAGAGGTTGAGTGATAGTTGATCTTAATTGTTGATTGGATTGAAGAGATGTCTAATGCTATGAAATTTGTAATTCACTTCTAGACACATTTGGGAGGACAGTATCAGAAAAGATTGAGGGGGAAAGACATGTTCTGAATGTACCATCTAGCATCTAGTGGGTTGAGATCCTAGGTCCTAGGTGAAATAAAAATGTGAAGGAAGAGGAAGCTAGTCAGCTTTGAACTGCTCTGCTCCACTGTGCTCTTCTCAACTTTGTAAGCCCAAAGAAATAATTTTTCCCTGAATTTTTTTCCTCAAGTATTTCTCAAAATGATGAAAATTCTGCCAAACACAACTTGTTTCTTTGAGATCTTTCATATGTGTGTTTGTAGACATATATATGCCTATATGTGTATATCTTTTTAAAATTTATTTACTTTTTGCATGGCATTTTATCACTGATCTACATCCCAGTCCTTGCTTTTGGAGACAAAGGTCTCTTTAGGTAGTTTAGACTAGCCTTTAACTTGCTATCTACTCCAGTGTGGCCTTGACTCATGCTGTCTTCCTTCTACCTCCTAAGTTGCTAGGATTACTGATGTGTTCCACAGTGCTTTTGCTGCTGTTATTGTTGTTTCTGTGCTGGAGTTTGAACCTAGCACCCTATGCATGGTAAGCAGGTATTCTACCTGTGAGTGAACTGTAGTCCCAGCATATATGCTTTTTGTTGAGTAGGCTTTCATTGCCATACCCTTTCCTTTAGTAGTGATTTTGGTTTATTCCATAGATTTTGGTTTGTTATATTTTACATTTTCATTTGTTTCAAGAGCTTTTAATTCTTTCCTGATTTCTTCATTAATCCATTGATTGCTCAAGAATAAACTATTTAATTACCATACATTTGTATAGTTTCCAAGCTTTTCTTTGCTATCAATGTTTAGTGTTATCGCATTGTGATGAGAGGAAATAAACCTCAAAATTATTTCCATTTTAAAAAGTTGTTGAGAATTGTTGTAGCCTATCATAAGATCTCTTAAGGAGAATGTTTCATATGCTGGAATAAAGAATATGTATTCTTGCTGGGTGCTGGTTGCTCATGCCTGTAATCCTAGCTACTCAGGAGGCTGAGATCTGAGGATTGTGGTTCAAAGCCAGCCTGGGCAGGAAAGACTGTAAGACTCTTCAATAAACCACTCAGAAAACCAGAAGTTGAACTATAGCTCAATTGGTAGAGTGCTAGCCTTGAGCTGAAGAGCTGAGTGCCCAGGCCCAGAGTTCAAGCCCCATAGCCGGAAAAAAAAAAAAAAAAGATGTATTCTGTACTTTTTGAGTGAAATGTTCTGTAGGTCTGTTTGATCAGAGGTACAATTAAACTTTTATTATTGATCTTCTGTCTAGATATGTCTATTACTGAAAGTGGGGAGAAAAATAATCCTACTGTTACTGTATTGGAGCAGTTTCCCTACCTTTAGATCTATAAATATTCTGTATATTTAGTATTCCTATCTACATTTTTCTGTGAATTTGTATAGAATATTTGCTCTGATATTGAATGCAAAAAGAAAGCTTCTCACTTTCCACAGTATTCCCAGTTTTTTCACTTTTTCCTTTTTCATCTTCCCAAAGTAATGTTTGTTCTTTCTTTTTTGTTTTAAATTATTTGTTGTATTTTGCCCCTTTTTGTGTTCTAGTCCTCCTAAAATCTCCAGTTTTAGTCATATCTGAACAAGACATTAAAGAGTTGTTGGTAGCTCTGTTGACACGGATGGGACTTCTGACTTTGCATTATAGTGATTATGTGTGTGTAGAGCTTGAGATGGTCCCCCAAGGCCATTATTTAGGGGTCTTCTTTCTATAGCTGCTCACTTATTCTGGGTAAAAAAACTCCTCTTTGGCAAGGTGTGAAGATACATGCCTACTACTGCAAATACTAGGAAAGCAGAGATTGGGAGTATTCAAGTTCAGAATTAGCCCAGGGAAAAATGTTTTTCTTAAAAAGTTTTAAGATGGTTATTATAAAGTTGTACAGAGGGGTTACAGTTACATAAGTCAGGTAAAGTGTACATTTCTTTTTGGACAGTCTCACCCCTTTCCTCATTCTGTCCCAGTTTTCCCCTCTGTCCCCACCCACAAGGTGTATAGTTCATTTTCAACATAAAGTCCAGTGAGTATCATTGTTACATTTTCCCCCTTTTGTCCCTCCATGTCTGTACCTCCTCTTACACTCCCAAAGGCATATAAATGGACAAGCAGAGCAAAAAGAAAAAAGAAATCCTCTTGTTTCCATTTCCTGGAGTTCATTTCGATAAATACTAATTTGTATGGTCAAATGCACATAGGCATTTTGCCTTTCTGTTATCTCCTAAGAGTAACCTCCTTTGGTCTCACTGTGTATGAGAGACCTGTATAAGTTATTATGTCCCAGTCTATTTTAGCTCTATAGGTATGAGAGAAAAACACAGGCTGTTTGTCTCTCTGACCTTGGCTTATATCAAGTAACATGATTTGTTCTAGGTCCATCCATTTCCCTGCAAATGATACAATATTATTCTTTCTAATGGCTGTACAAAATTCCATTGTGTACAAGTGCCACGTTTTTTGTATCCATTCATCTATTGTAGGACATCTGGGCTGTCTCCACAAATTGGCTATTGTGAATAGTGGAACAATGAACATGGATGTGCAGGTGTCTATCATATCCTAGCTTGTGATATTCTGGATAGATGCCCAGGAGTGGTGTGATTGAGTCATAAAGAAAATCTATGTTTAGTTTTCTTGAGGAACCTCTAGACTGCTGTCCTGAGTTGTACCAGTTTTCCGCCAACAGTGCAATAGGGTTCCCTTTCCCCCACATTCCTGCCAATATTTGTTGTTTGGATTCACAGTGTTGACCAATCAATCCAACTGGGGTGAGATGGAATCTCAGAGGTGTTTTGATTTGCATTTCCTTTATGGCCAGGCATGATGAACATTTCCTCATGTGTTTCTTTGCCATTCTTACCTTTTCTGAGATGTCTCTCCTTTTTGCCCATTTAGTGTTTGGGATGGGTTAATTTCTTGAGTTCCTTGTATATCTTTGATATTAGGCCTTTGTCTGAAGTATTACAGGAAAGATCTTCTCCCAGTCTGTTGGCTATCTTTCTAGCTTAGTAACTATGTCCTTAGCTGTGCAGAAACTTTTTAGTTTGATGTAGTCTCATTTGTTAAATGCCTATCCTGTCTGCTTGTTCTCTGTGCTCTGCCCCTTGGACTCTTTGTTCAAAAAGTTTCTGCCTGTCTAGGCATAAATGTTAGTAAGACCCCCATCTCAGCAAATAAGCTAGGTGGTGTGTACCTACCAGCTAAATGGTTAAATGGAGGGTATAAGTAGGTAGAGCTCAAAAATGTGAGAAACTATCCAAAAAATACACCAAAAAGTGCTAGGGACATGGCTCGAAGGATAGAGTACCTTCCAAGTGTACCTAAAGGTCCTGAGAAAAGAAAAACTTTTTTTTTTCTCCTGCTGAGAGGCTAGTAGGCAGCTAGCTAATGTAAATAATGGAGGCTGCAAATCCTTCTCTTGGATATGGCTGTTGCACATCAGACTTAAATCTGAGTCCATCTTGTGCCTGCTAATGTTCTTTATTCTAAAGGTTTTGGGTTTCAGTTCCCTGTGCTCTTTAGGCTTTGGCTTCTTCTGCCCTATAAAGTCACTTAGCTCTTCCCTGTTTTCTTTCACATATGTGTTGGCCTGCCTGCCTGCCTGCCCCCTACTCTTTCTTTCTTTCTTTCCTTCTTCCTTCCTTCCTTCTTATCTACCTACGTTTCTTTGTTTCTTTCTAGTATTAGTCCTCCCTTTCCTTTGTTTTTACATTTTAAGATCATTTTTATTATGCTCTCAGATTTGTATAGAAGTGTGTAAAAGAGATAGGATTAAGAAATTTTACTTGATTTTTGAGTATCTGTTATGAGTAGGTTATATGTTCATACGGTGTCTGTAGTGAAGGTTGGAAATTGGTGCTTTTAAATTTTAATAATTATATATAGATAACTTACTTATATATCCTACACTTGGTATTTGGTACATTTATTGAATTGAGTTTATATAATAGTACATCTAATAGATTTTTTAAAAGTACTTCAGTGCTTTTTTTTTTTTTACTTTGATCTAATCTAGTAATGTGAAAAGGAAGTATATTGTTTATATAAAAATAACTTCTTTCCTTTTGCCTATCAATTCTTCTTTCGGCTCTACAGATTGGTTAAAATTCTTTCATAGCTCCTTAAATAATGATACTGATTAAAGAAATGATTGTAATCTTTAAATCAAAGAGTGTTTGTGATATATACTATGATCTATACTATCTATACTATGACAAATGGAGCATCCAATTAAGTAATTTCATGGAATTATGTAGTGTACTAGATTTAAACCTATATTATATGTATATATTGATTCTTATGATATTTGTTCATCCTTTTGTTTATTTTTTTTAATTTAGGTAAATGGGCAATGTGCTGGCCACACAGCTATGCAAGCTGCTAGTCAAAATGGACATGTTGATATTTTGAAGTTACTTTTGAAGCAAAATGTGGATGTAGAAGCAGAGGTAACTAAGCTAAGCTTGAAAAATTAATTTTCTAGAAATAATTTATTGTTATTACTGTTGTTAGTTTTGCAGTGCTGAGGATTGAACCTTGAACTTTATACATGATAAGTATTATGCCACTAAACTATATCCTTAGCCCTTTAGAAATATTTTTTTTTTTTGGGTCCAGTTGTGGGGCCTGAACTCTGGGCCTGGGTGCTGTCCCTCAGCTCTTCAGCTCAAGGCTAGCACTCTACCACTTGAGCCACAACACCACTTCCGGCTTTTTTCTTTTTGCTTATGTGGTGCTGAGGAATCGAACCCAGGGCCTCATGCATGCAAGGCAAGCACTCTACCACTGAGCCACCTTCCCAGCCCCTAGAAATATTTCTATATGCGGTGGATTTTTATTCTGGAATTTAGTATTTTTTGTTTATTTAATTGAACAGGAAAATTTGACCAAAGACAGCTTAAAAACATTTCTTGTTAGATCCATCAGTGTTTTAAGCATAATCCTAAGTCATGATAGGTTTTGAGTTTACCACCACTATGGTGGAACCCAGCTGGGTTGGAACCCAGCTATGCTGTTGGGAATTCACCTGAGAGTACCCAGGAGTCATACTCAGAATGGCTGCATACATACACTTCTCATCATGGTCTTTTTTGATCTCTATGATACTCAAGTCTTTTTTTTTGTTTTTGGTCCGGTTGTGGGGCCTGAACTCTGGGCCTAGGCGCTGTCCCTCAGCTCTTCAGCTCAAGGCTAGCACTCTACCACTTCAGCCACAGCACCACTTCTAGCTTTTTTCTTTTTGCTTATGTGGTGCTGAGGAATTGAACCCAGGGCCTCATGCATGCAAGGCAGGCGCTCTACCACTGAGCCACCTTCCCAGCCCTCAAGTCTTTTTTTCTTTTTGTTTTATTTTGGTGTTGGCTTTTGCCATAAATGAAATGACATTTTTTCAGTCTTACTTTTTCTTGACCTTAATTTGAGTCTTTATACTTACCTATGCTTAATTTAACTTTGAGTATATTCTTATGAAAAGGAAATAATAATATACCTTAATGCCATTGGAACTTCAGTTTGGAATCTATGTGTGGTAGGAAGAGTGGTTTGATTTTTTTTTTTTTTTTGTCGGTCGTGGGGCTTGAACTCTGGGCCTGGGTGCTGTCCCTCAGCTCTTCAGCTCAAGGCCAGCGCTCTACTGCTTGAGCTACAGCGCCACTTCCGGTTTTCTGGTGGTTAATTGGAGATAGGAGTCTCACAGTCTTTCCTGCCCGGGCTGGCTTTGAACCGCGATCCTCAGATCTCAGCCTCCTGAGTAGCTAGGATTACAGGCGTGAGCCACCGGCACCTGGCTGGTTTGATTTTTTTATAACTATAGCCTCCTGTCTAAACATATATTAAGATTACATTAATTTTAGTCAGTGTAAGGTTATTTAGAGTGAGTCAGAATCTAGCAAGTATAAACTAAGCAGGATGTTGCAGTTTCATCTGAAAAACTTTCCCATCTAGAAGAGGCCAAACTTGAGTTGTTGAGGGCTAACTTGATAAACCCACCTATTTTTTCATTAATTACAAAGTTGTGTGTGTGTGAGTGTGTGTGTCTAGGGTTTGAACTCAGGACCTAGGCACTGTCTGTAAGCTTTTTCACTAAGGGTTGACATTTTCCCTCTTAACCATAGCTCCACTTAATGCATTTTTGCTGGTTAACTGGAGGTAAGAGTTTAATGGACTTTCTTGATCCAGGTCTTTGACCAGGAGCAAGCTGGTTTTGAACTTTGGTCCACAAATCTCAGCCTTCTAATTAGCTAGAATTATAGGTGTGAGCCACCAGCACATGGGTTCGTTAACTTAAAAGTTTAGGACACATATTTTAAAAAGTTCTTTTTTTTTTTCTTTAATAGTTTGTAGTTCGAATTATCAAACAGCTTTTGAAAGAGTCTGGTTTTAGAAGTAGGCCTTTCATCTTAGATGTTGGAGTTTTCTGTTGCCCAGAGTTTGAATTTTAAATGAGCATCTTGGATATAACTATATTATAGTTTACCTATTACAGTTTTATTTTCTTTAATTTTCCTTTTTTTTGTGTGCTGGTCCTAGAGCTTGGACTTAGGGTTTGGGTACTGTCCCTGAACTTTTATGCTTAAGGCTAGTGCTCTACCATTTAAGCTACAGCTCAACTCTTCATCTCCTGGCTCTCTCTCTCTCTCTCTCTCTCTCTCTCTCTCTCTGTGTATGTGTGTGTGTGTGCGCGCGCGCATGCACGTGCACGCATGTGTGTGCTTTATTAAAGAGTCTCATGGACTTTCCTGCTCAGGCTGGTTTTGAACCATGATCTTCACATCTCAGCCCCTGAGTAACTAGGATTACAGGTGTGGCCTCTGGAGCCCAGCTTATTGTAATTTTTTTTGTTCCATTTTCTGGAGTTCATTTTGATACATATTATTTTATATGATCAGAGGCACATAGACATGGCACTTACGTTATTGTAATATATTTTTAACTAGTACTGGGAATTAAAATCAGGACATTGTGCTTGATTTTTTTTTCATTACTAAGGATTAAATTTAGGGCCTCAAGCTTGATAGGCAGGTATTCTACCATTCTGCCTCCAGTCCCTTTTACCATTGCTGGCCTGAGTTACAGTTTTCCTTCTTGTCTTTTCACATGTTGGGGACGATAGGGTCTAGCCACTGTTCCCAGTTTTGTGTTTCTCCATAACTGGAATAACAGGCACCTCCCCCCGCCCCCCCAAAGCCATTGGTTGAGATGGAGTCTAGGAAACATTTTGCCTGGGCTAATGTGGGACCATCATCACCTGATCTTTGCCTCGAAGGATACAGAATTGAGCCATTGCTCTCAGCTATAGTTAGGTTTGTGTGTGTGTGCATGCGTGTGTGCATGTTGGTCCTAGGGCTTGAACTTTTTTTTCATCCTCTACTACTTGATCCACAGCTCTACTTTCAGCTCTTTGGTGGTTAATTGGAGATAAAAGTCTCAAAAACTTTTGTGCCTGGACTGGCTTTGAACTGAGATCTTCAGATAGATCTTAGCATCCTGAGAAGCTAGAATTATAGTTGTGAGCTATTGATGCCTGGCTAACTTTTTTGAATAAGAGTTTTTTAGTTGATACACTAATCTAGGTTTATCATTTATCTTTGGAGGTAATCACTATTTAACTTAGGTCCTAGTTATTTTGGCAGCTCTATTTTCTTAAAAAAATTTTTTTTTATTATAAAGGTGATGTTCAGAGGAGTTAGAGTTATATATGTCAGATAAAGAGTACATTTCCCTTTTGGACAACGTCATCCCTTCCCTCGCTCTCTCCCAGTTTTTCCCCCCACCCTCACCCACAAGTTGTCTGTTTGCTTTTCTGAAAATCACCTGGTTCTTATTTATTTATTTATTTTTGGTCTGCCTTGGGGCTTGAACTCTGGGCCTGGGCGCTGTCCCTCAGCTCTTCAGCTCAAGGCGAGTGCTTTACCACTTGAGCTACAGCGCCACTTCCGGTTTTCTGGTGGTTTATTGGAGATAGGAGTCTCACGGTCTCTCCTGCCCGGGCTGGCTTTGAACCGCGATCCTCAGATCTCAGCCTCCTGAGTAGCTAGGATTACAGGCGTGAGCCACCAGTGCCCGGCTCACCTAGTTCTTAGTGTATTGTTATATCTTCTTCACAAGTTTCTCCTTCCTCATCCCTTTAGAGCTTTTGAGATTGACTCTCACTGTGCCAACCTAGTGTACCCCCCTAGCTGCCCTCCAGGTCAATCCTCCTGCCTTAGTTTCCTGAGTACTGGGACAGTCATGGCCCACCATGCTTAGCCCTATTTCTCTTTCTTTTAACTATTCACTAATTGAGATTTAAATGCACATGTTTAGGATAAAGATGGAGATAGAGCAGTTCATCATGCCGCTTTTGGAGATGAAGGTGCTGTTATAGAAGTACTACACCGAGGCAGTGCTGATCTAAATGCTCGAAATAAGCGCCGACAGACACCACTTCACATTGCTGTTAATAAAGGCCATCTTCAGGTTGTGAAGACTTTATTGGACTTTGGTTGCCATCCCAGTCTCCAGGTAAGACTTCTAATCCAAGGATGCTATTAAAGAGAAGTGCTAGATCCAAGGATGTAGCACTTTTATATAGAATGTATACTTGTGTATAGATTGTATAACATTCTAGCATAGGATGTTATAAACAAAATTGACAAATTGTTTCTTCCTCAAAGAGCCCTTTCAAATGTCAATTGATTAGGTTTAGATTTAAGGGTAGAAGCAAGAACTTCTTACAAAATTATCATCTTAAAAGTTGATTTGAGCTGGGTGCTGGTGGCTCACACCTGTAATCCTAGCTACTTATTAGGCTGAGACCTGAGGATCTTGGTTCAAAGCCAGCCCATGCAGGAAAGTCCATGAGATTCTTTTCTCTAATTAAACACGAGAAAACTGGAAGTGGTGCTGTGGCTCAAGTGGTAGAGTGCTCACCTTGTGCTGAAGAGCTGAGGAACAGTGTCCAGGCCCAAAGTTCAAGCCCCATGACTGACAAAAAAAAAGTTGATTTGATTTAATTTTATTCATCATGGCAATTTTAACATCTTAAAAAATAGATAGTAACTAGGTTATATAAAACATTATTTCTGTGTGCTGGGGGGTGGGGGTCACACCTGTAATTTTAGCTACTCGGGAGGCTGAGATCTGAGGATTGCAGTTCAAAGTCAGACCAGGCAAGAAAAGTGTGTGAGACTTGTACCTCTGATTAACCCTGAAAAGCTGGATCAAATGGTAGATTATCAGCTTTGAACTAAAAAGTTAAAGGACAGTATCCAGGATTTGAGTTCAAGCCCCAGTACCAACACAAAACAACTATGCAAAACCAAAGATGTTCTAGGCCAGCCTGGGCTATCAGAGTCTATTACAAAAAACACAAACAAAAATATCTGAAACCCCCAAATTCTCAACAGACTATGTAATAATTACTCCAACATTATCTAAATTATTGTCATTGTTGTTTAGTTTATTTCAGGGTCTAGATCTAATCCAGTCTAGGCTGATTTTCTGTTTTGGAAAATACTTGTTTTTAAGGTTGATTACAGTGTGACCTAATTTAAGGGGGTAATCACCTAATTTTTGAAGCAAAATTCACCTAATAAATGATTTTCCCCAACCACATTTTAGCAACTAAGTGAATTAAAATACATATGTAAAGGAAATGCAGAAAACTGCATTTGAATATGTAAAAATGCCAATTTAAATTGGAAACTAAATATTAAAATAAAAAGGGGAGAATCATTAAAATGATGGTTTATAGTTTAGAACTTTAGAATCTGCTTATAGTTTAGATAATTCACAAGAGCTAGAAATTTTAGGAGGTATTGAAGAAGATCAGGAATACTATGAGTGCAGACTTCAGAACTACTGAAAGAAAATGGAAGTTTTCAACTATGTGGTTATAGACAGCAATGTTTCTGAAGTGTAGACATTTTGGAACTGACAGGATATGGATAGAAGAGGAATTGAGGATGTTATGTGTTGAAGGAGGGGGGAATTTATTGATCTTTTTGTCTGAAATGGGGCTCAAGGATCTGTTTTGAGAGGTTGAGTGGATGTAGACAAAGGTTAATTGAGGACAGTATTAACAGTTTGCAATAGCTAATATGGGGACCAGCAGGCAGAGCACAACAGGAGTCTGTAGGAATGTTTTCACATCTTGTTCACAGCTCATATCAAGTTGAAGACTACAAATATTTGTGCTATTTTTACAGTAGGATTGAAGGTAAATGCCTGGTTTGAACTTGGGCTACTAATTTTTTTTTTAATGCTAGTCCTGGGGCTTGAACTCAGGACTGGGCACTGTCCCTGAGCTTCTTTTGCTCAAGGCTAGCATTCTACCACTTGAGCCACAGTGCCACTTCCAGCTTTTTCTGTTTATGTGGTACTGAGGAATTGAACCCAGGGCTTCATGCATGCTAGTCAAGCACTCTACCACTAAGCCACATTCCCAGCCCTTTGGGTTAGGAATTTGTATGTGGAAGGGTAAACATACAACTGTGATTGTCAAACTTTTATATAAATGACTAGATAGTATTGTATTTTGTGTAACAAGTACACAGCTCTGTCATTATAGAATAAAACAGTCACAGATATATGAAAGAGAGTCTGTGTTCTAGTGAAATTTACAAAAAACAGGTGGCAAGCTGGATTTGGCAACCATGGTACATGCCATGGGATGGGATATATATGACTTTTTGAGAATTTGTGAAGCTGTGCAGATAACTGATGATGAATGACTAATAATTTACTCATTGCCAAATGATTAGTGTACAAAATAGCTTGAAAATAGAGGTAAATCGAGATCTTTACATTTTCATTTACTTTAATTTCTACTTTAAGCATAGTAACCACTTGCCTGCCCTTTGAAAACATTTAGGCTATTGATTATCACCAGTGAGTGTGTAATATATGAATCTGGGGAACTCTGAAGGTCTTTTGAAGCTTGCTTTTTTTTCTTGTTTTTTTTTTTTTTTTGGTAAGAATGGTTATCCTTTGCTTTGCTCATTGGCTAACATGCTACCAACTGAAAACATACCTCCAGCCCCACAAGCTTGCTTTTCATCCCTAGAGATTTATTTGGTCTAGAGACCAGCCTAGCCCATCAGAATTTTTGATAGCTCCCTGGCATATTCTAACATGTAGCCAAGGTTAAAAAACCACTGATTTGAATTCATTGCTATGAAGCCTGAAAATGGATGTAAATTTTGGTTCAGCATTTGGTGGGACAGTAGTTAGTGATATTGTTTTATTTACTTCAGTGTGTCTATCACAGTTTCTTGCCTGTATTCTCCCTTGGTACTGGTGGGAATGGAACTCAGGGCCTCCTGTATGGTAGGCAATCACTTCATTGCTTCCATTTTTATATTTAACACAGAGTGTGATCACTTACTGAGAGTTGGTGGATAAGGTCAGGCCTCTGTTTCTTTGTTTAGTTTTGTGTAAGCATTGTTATCAGATGTGATGATGAGTTGAAGGAAAAATAATAAAGGTCTCTTTAAACTTCAAAAACCTAAAGGATTCTGAAGGTGATACACCTCTTCATGATGCTATAAGTAAGAAACGCGATGATATTCTGGCAGTTCTTTTGGAAGCTGGAGCAGATGTTACCATTACAAACAATAATGGATTTAATGCTCTACATCATGCTGCACTAAGAGGAAATCCCAGGTAAAAATGTGATCTTTTATTATATTTAGGTACCATTTAAAAACACTTTGCTTTTTCTAGTTCTTTTCTGATTTTGATGAGGAAATAATTTCAACTAACTTTAGTATCTTAAATCATTTTAAAAGTTGTGGAAATTAAACCCATCATTCAGTATATTCATTTAAGTATGATTGTGTTTGCTAAAAAAATACAAGTAATATGAAATTATTTAAATATATATGAAATGTAGATATAAAAGACTGGGAATATTGGCTTACATCTAAGGATTTAATTTGAAAGCATTTCATTTTGAGACTTGTTTCTTCGAGATCATTCTCAGAGTGTTGTCTAATCCCATGTTCAATACCATGTTTACATGGTAACTTGTTTTTAAATTTGTTCTAAGTTTGTGGCTAAATATAAAGTTACCTAGCTCCTTATCAATAATAAGCTAGCACTAGCAACTAGAAAATAAGATAGATCCTAGTTACTGTTATAGAAATAGATAGGTGCTGTGCTGAAAAAAAAATGGCTTATTAGTTAAAATTTGAGGAAGACTGCTTTGGGAGTCAGATTACTCATAATGGATTTGTAAGGTTTTCCAGAAAAGAAGATGGTTTACCTTGTATTTAATGTTGAGATTCTCTCGAACTCCTAGAACAATTTTAACTTTAACATACATTTTAGGAAATTCTGCCCTAAGGCTGAAGACACTAAGGTGTCTTCTTTTTGTAGTTGAAACAGGCCTGTATCTATATATCTTAAGAAATATTCACTTTATTTGGATAATTTTATTTATCCTGATTTCTTACTGTTTCTTACTGTGTATTTCTATCATGTTCCCTCCCTGCCCCCTCCCCCTTTTTTTTTTGTGCCAATTTTTAAAATGCTTCTTAGGATCACCACTAGAGGGAGATCACAGAAACCAAAAGAATTTTATTGCTACTCGTTAGTAGGATGAAATGAAAAACCATATCATGTTAATGTCTTGAAATTTTTCACATTACCAATAGATGAATATATCATACTTTTGCATTGAGAGGGAGGCAGCTAGTATCTATTTTCTTCCATTTAAATAGAAGATGATAATGATTTATATAAATTTTAGTGCCCCACATTATTTACATTAACACACTCAAATATTTATATGTACACACATGTGTATGTATATATATATATATATTTGCATGTGTGTATATATATATATATATATATGGATAATAATAATAGCACTTTGCCACATACTAAAGTTGATTTTTGTTGTTTTTTTTTTGTTGTTGTTGTTGTCAGTTGTAGGACCTGAACTCTGGGCCTGGGTACTGTCCTTCAGCTTTTGAGCTCAAGGCTAGCGCTCTACCACTTGAGCCACAGTCCCATTTCTGGCTTTTATGTGGTACTGAGGAATTGAACCTAGGGCCTCATGCATGCAAGGCAAGCACTTTACCTCTGAGCCAGCTTCCCAGCCCCACAAACTAAAGTTTTGTTTTTGGTTTTTTTTGCCAGTTTTGGGCTTGAACTCTGGGCTTGGGTGCTGTCCCTGTGCTCTTCAGCTCAAGGTGAGCGCTCTACCGCTTGAGCCACAGCACCATTTCTGGTTTTCTAGTGGTTAAGAGTCTCATGGACTGTGCTTCCCAGGCTGGCTTTGAACTGTGATCCTTAGAACTCAACCTCCTGAGTAGCTAAGATTACAGGCGTGAGCCACCGGTGCCCGGCCAAACTAAAGTTTATAAGTATATTTTCTCAATCTTTTCAACAGCTTTTTGCTTGTTTGCTTGCTGTGCTGGGAATTGAACCTGGGGGTCATATGTTTGTTAGGTAAGCACTCAGCCACTGAACTATATCCCCTTCCCTTCAACAGCTTTTGAAGTGGGTGTTCATGTTCTCATTTAAAAGATGAAGGATTTGAGACTTTTAGGACATGAATTTATTTACTCAAGATTATGTAGCTGATTAGAAGAGTAACTGGGGTTTGAGAAAGGTCAGTGTCACTCCAGAACCATAGCTCTTAACCACGTGATATGCTATTTATGTATTACAGTCATATGTGAGGCAAGACACACAAGCTGTGTGTGGTTTGGCTGAGAGTCATGCATCAATGCCTTGTTTCTCCCTTGCCCATTATTTAGGGTTGTCTTTACTTTTTCACACTAATTGAAACATTAATTAGTTATACAGTTCTGTTGATTTTACTGTTATTTCCAATATATTCCATTCTTTTTATTCCCATTGCTGCTGACTTAATTAATTACCTAGGCCATTTTCAGCTACACTGTTACGGTTTTTCTCTGATTATTCTCCTTGATTAACTTTCATAGAATTAATTGTTCTAAACTCATAGACCTGATGGCTCTCTATCCTGTTCTTGAGCCTCCAGTCATTTGCCCTTGTGCATAGTAAAACCTGTACCTCTTGGCTTGGCATTTAAGCTTGTTTCTTTGAGCCCAGGCTACTTTAACACAGAACCCTTTGGCCTCAGTCTACCAAGGGCTAGGATTATAGGCATGCACCACTGTGCCCAGCTAGAGCCTATTTCTAATGTGTCCTGAATTCTCCCTTTATAACTTTGTCTCTCACTAATCCTTTACCTGCTTTACCCTCCAGCTACATTATTATACTCCTTTCCTTTAAAAAAAATAAGCTATTTGGCTTTCTTCCAGTGTTCTGAACATCTCTTTATACAAAAAAATACCTTCTTAGCTAGCTTTCCCCCAAAGTTTCTTCTTTTTCTTTTCCTTTTTTTTTATGGAGGTACTGGGGCTTTAATTCAGGCTTTGAGTTTGCTTGGCTTGCTCACTTAAAAAGATTTACACTCTACTTTTTGAGCCACAGCTCCAGTTCAGTGTTTTACTGGTTAATTGGAGATAGTTACATGGACTTTGCTGTCCAGGCTGGCTTTGAACTGTACCCTCTGGATCTTAGGCTCTTGAGTATCTAGGATTACAAATGTTGCTCCAACATCTCGCTGGGCTTCCTTTGCCTGTTTATTGTAGTTATTTTTTGTTCTTTTGGTAGCTTCTTATTCTGTGTTCTTATTTTATTACATGTACTCTAATGTACTCAATGTTGTCTTGTTACCATATACATTTCTATGCTTTTGTTTTTACTAGTATCAAGGTGTGAACTCAGTCTTGAGCTGGCTTGGTGTTGTTTCCTAGGCTGGTGTTCTACTACTTGAACCTCAGGATCCAATGTCTTTTTGTTAAAATTATGGGCACTCAAATCCAATTGTATACCCCCCACAGTGCACTGAACACTATAAGCACTCAATTGGTTGTAATTTGATAGCGAAGGTAAGATTTCACAAGATATTTATAATTAATTATAGAGGAACTCAGTGGGGAACTGTGTTAGGAGCTAATGTAGAATAACTATTTCAGATTAGAATGGTCAAAAAGACCAGTAATTTATTTATTTTGTGATTTTTTTTTTTTTTGCACTTGCTAGGCAGGCATTTTGCCATTTGAGCCACAACCCCATTCTCTGATTGAGGGTATGTAGAATACAATATTACATTAAATCATAACATTTAAGATAAATTAAAAATTGAAGGGTTTTGGAAACAGATATCTTTAAAATATTTTTGAAATGTAAAAGAATAGGCATTGTAGCAGAATTTTTTTTCTTGTTTCAATTCTTACATAATTCTTGGATTCCTCAGAAAATATATAATAGTGATGCTTTCAGTCATATAATTTGTGTCATGTGATATTAAAAAAATAAAAAACCACTTGGCTTCTATAAGAAAGTTAATGTATCAAATAAAGCTACTTGTCTTCTTTATTTCTTCTTCAATAACACATTTTAGGTAGTTTTGACTGTAGATATGATTTTAATTGAACATTGAAAAGTATCAGAAGATGACATAACATATATCAATTGTAATTGCAGGCTGAGATATTTGATACCTTTTTTCTACTAAGAGTTTATTTTTACTATGAAATATAATCTACATTTCAGTATTTTATGAAGAATAAGAAATTTAATACCAAGATATCATAAATAATTTTATTTGAAGTTTTTAAGTCATTACATATTTTTTTCAGTAAAGCTTCTTATAAACATCTTTAACCACAATTGTTCTTCCAAATACAATTAATGACAAGTTGGTTTTAATCACAACCTGAATAACTTACATAAATTTAAATTAGTTGATATATAATTGATATTCACAAATGAAAACGTTGGCTATCCTGTAGTAATCAATGCATAGCTACAGCTGGTTGAAGGGGACCAAATCCATTGAAGAGGCGATTTGGTTCCATTTTACCAGCTTTAGCAAAGCATTGTAGTGCTGCTAGTTTGGGATCCAAAACAGTTAAAATATACAGACCATCTTGAAGTGTTATAAATTCTCCTATCAGTGAATGTAAAATTTCTAGTTTGGAGGCACTTTACTCTTAGAGTTTAGAAATCTTTAAACAACACCACCACCAGCGAAACTGGGAGACAGCGAGGAAGGTGTGACATTGTCCAAAAATGTATTCATAGCCTGACTTACATAACAGTAACCCCTTTGTACATCTCCTTTATAGTAACAATTTAATTTTTTTTAAAAAGTACTTTTAAAAGACATTGCAGTTCATTTAGGAATTACTGTGCATCTTTGCTTAAGTCTTAAATGTAAACTATAACATATTCAAAACCCAAAGCATTTTTAAATGAACAACTAGATACTGATATATTTCAGAGAAATGTTTTCTGTTTTTCTTTAGAAGTAAGCCAGATTCCTTAAGTAGGTAAGCTAAAAGTTGGGGAAGAACAATATTAATCATATTTCTGCTGCTGCTCTTTTTAGTATTAAAATTGAAGATTAATAGCAAGTTGCTGATAGGGTGGAAGAATGGGTGACCTTAAAAAATACCTCTGCTCTTTTGTTAGTAAATAAATCTCAGATATAGTCAGTGAATTGCTTGGACATGCTTGTATTGAGAAAAACTACCAGGTCACTATCATATTTTTCTTTGGTTTTGCTTATAAAAGCTTACTGATCATGGATTAGTAATTTTACCCTTTAAATTAAA